CTTTTTATTAGACTGCTTGTCTAGCAATATTATAAAGAGGTGGAAATTCATGTATGTCAAATGTTCGTGGACAAAAAATGAATCTGGTAATACGAACGAGAAAATATATTCATTTCATAGTTGTTAATTCTTCCCCTACTTTGATACAATGATGTGAAAACATAAATATAATTCAATTATTTGTTTGTTTCACATACAGCGAACTGAATAAGTGTCCCACGACTTTCCAAATTCAGCTGTGACATTCACTGCATCCCTACGCTAAAATTAGCCTTCCGTGAGCTTTGAGACAATGGGACTACTTCAGTAACATTGATAACTTATTCTGGGATATTTTAGGTTCATGACAATTATTTTTTTGGATCTTAGGCAGCGACGAATTTCATTAAAACAATTCACTGTATCCCAATCTGATTGAAACCCGATGAGGTTAGTTTCATTTTTTATTTCATTTTTTGTTTATTTATGAAAATATTTATGGTTTTGTTTGCCGTTGTTAAGTATGTTGAATATCGTATCTCGATCACCTTAACTACATCTGACTCAATGCATATGGCAATCTCGTGGATATCTCGGGTAAGAATCAACCAATTAGAGCACGGATTACAGACTGCTTACGGAAAACTCAGGTAGGGTGATGAACGTTTCTTTATAGCCTCGTATTCTGCATTTGTGTGTCAGTTTATCAAATTATCAGTCTAATTAATGTAAATCCCAAGTTTTATACTGAACTGCAGAATTCCTCATAGGTATGGCGACCGGTATATGATATAAAAAATAACAGCAAGTACCCCCCCCCCCAACAAAAAAATCATAATTAAACAAAATAGCAGCAAAAAATATAAAAGTTAAAGAAATCTGGAGCCTTTTCCCGCAAAGGATTTTAATCAGATTGGCTGTAGCCCAAGTTAAGTCGTAGGACGTTTATTCAGTTCGTAACACTGTCGTTGAGCTCTCCGCACAGCGAATACAATATATTTATTCTACGTGATGCCGTGCTGTTATTATTAGTCATGCTAGACATTTTATTGTATAACCATTACCCACACTGAAAGACATGCAATAATTACAGTACAGAGTTCGTTAAGGGTTATCGCAAACACTATTTGAATGGATTTGTTTGAAAACTCAAACAATTATTCTCAATCTGATGGACCACGGAATCGTGAACTTATTCAATTAACAGTATGTATGGTAAGAAACGAAAGGTGAATATTGCATGAAATTATCAGGTGTTCATTCAAATAAAATAAATAATTACTGTAACATTAGGTAATATGATATTCAAATTAAAATAAACGGAAATCCTATTCTGTGTCACATGAATCATGTAATTCAATGGTCCAGTGTAAAATTGTGTTATATTTTCGTGGTGGTTTACTTTCAACGACGTGGTATACTCGCCTATGCCTCCAGTGGTGGTATATCTTCATAAGCATACGGCCCGACATGGTTCCGCGATGAACTATTTTTTTTTTCAGGCTTTATCTGACATTGCCAATGTCATACGTACAATGCATAATAAAAAGGGCACCTAAAGCCTAGTATAATGTCTTTCCTTAAACACTCTCATCTCCCCCGCCCATTCCATTAGTAGCGAGCGCAGGGAAGCGAGCTTTTTGGATAGCTTGTGTATAGAAGATAATGGAAGATATCTATATACCCTAAGAGTTGGAAAATGGTACACTTTCAGTCAATAGGCTCCACTATTTTGTTTTTTGTTTCATAAATTATGCGAAGCGAAACAGATCATTCATGATAACACATCTTCAGAATGTTGTTCAATGATAAGGCAATCGTTTCTTGGCAACGGACTGAAAAACGTTTGACTTTGAATAGTGTTTTGAGTCATTGTGATTCACGCGCTTCGATTTTCTATGCTTACGTCAGTTTTATTTTTAGTGGGTCAATAATTAAACAGCTCGGCTGCAATTGCTCGTCAGGCATTATGACAATAACCACTGTTGCGGAGAGAGAAAATGAATATTGATAAAAAGTTTTATATCTAGAAAATGAAAACTGGTATAAAAACTGTAAATTGCATAAATGGAGCTCTTCCATCTGAACGTATTATGTTTTTCCGCCCCCTGTCATGGCTAAACATCTTACAATTTAGTAGTACCTATTAGTGGTACACACAAACTTGTGTGTGCGATAGTGTTTCCAGATATTTACAAATTACGAATGATTGCTCTGTACTACTAGACTACTAGACACAACAAATGGAGATAAATACTATTTATACGGTCAGAGAATAGCATATAAATATACTTTCAGGATTGAATAAGATGGATTATAGTACTCCAAGTATAATCCGTTACAACTTAATCCGTCTGGTGGATTGGGATATTTTTTTCAAAATAGTAGAACTTTGCTCACTAAATTGGTATTTTATTTTATTACTCGTACAAATGAATAACGATGTTCGTTGTAACGATGCTGGACGCAGTATCACCTATAATTTCATTGCTGGCTTGAGAATATTTTCTGTTTCACTTTGCTCTTGGTTGCTCTTTAATTTGGAGATGAACCTCACTTAACAGCAGAAACAGTGAGGAATACAGAAATACCTCTCACATCTTATTCCGATTGGCAACAATCCTAATGTACACGCGTCATTGATTCGTTTATTTGGTGTGAACAATGAACAATAATGGACTGGATAACCCAATCAGTAGGAAAAACCACGTGTCATCCATTACAGCGTGCAACAGTGGTTAGGGGGGGTTAACAGAAAACAAATTACTACCCAGAAGTACACGGTATACTCAGTAAGCGCCATTTACCTGGAGTCTGACAATGTTCTCTCAATTTCGTTGTTACATGCAAATCCTGTATGTTTAAATAACGTCATTTGATGGAGCAACAATGATTGACACACGTCATAGTATTTACGTTACTCATCACCGATATTTACCGTAAAAAGGCTGTGTTCGTGTGAGCATAATATGACCCTACACATAATATATACCCTGATAAAGGCAAAAAAACATATTATACAAAATTAAATAATGTACTAATGGAATAGCAAATAATTCACACAGAGAAATATATTTATGTTAAAATTTGAACGTGGTTTACGGAAATTGCGGTTGAATGCGACTACCATGTGCATTAACGTAAATTACTTGGCCTCTTGTCGCTGACAAATGTTTACTTATCCACGCAACATAACGTAATAAGCGTTGTACAAGAAAAGTGGATTGAAAGCGAGGCTAAGTTTGGATACGTTACTCTTGTAGCGAGAAGAAGGTCACTAAGGACTTCTTACCAGTGCTTACTGTGTTCTTGATAGCATTGGAGCTTATTGATTGGATAAATAACTTCTAGATATTTTTCAACAAGGCGCCCTGTCTCGTTTATTTAACAAAAAAATGAGAACAACATCATGCAACAATGAAACAAACCAGTCTGCAAATCTTGTAAATGTGCGAGAGGAGAAAAAAGATTACCCCCCACCCCAAAAAAGGAACAACTTACTTTGATGAATTTATTTGACGTCGTTTATACGTACTGAAAATCGTGACATGTTTACAGGTGAAGAAGCCTTACCGCTGTCACATGCTTGCCGGGGGCTCTGATCAAGGCAAGTGATGCGTGTTACCTTACGAGCCCGCGCTTCATCCGCCTCTATTGCGTATACACATACGCTCCGAACACAGATTGCTCTTATCAAACTCCCGATGCACATATAATATACGAAGATCACAATACTAATTAATAGCCAAATGAAACAAATACGACTAATCGCTATGTACAGTTGTCATTTTACGTCATCCAGTTCGGTCCATGTCACTTTCCAGAGCTGCCATTATTCATTCAAGTACAAGTACAATTCAGTATTTCAGATGCATGATATCACGCAACCTTTATTGCTGCGCAGCCTCAAAAACAAATTTCATGTTGTACTGGAATATGATGGCGGATAAAGGCAGCTGACCGTACTAAGAACACCTTCATGTTATTTCATTTATACAACACCGCCCTCAGCGTTATGAGGTACTTTCAATACGTTATATTAAGGCAGCACATATTCATTCGCTTAAAGTGTGGCGTCAGTTGTCCCCATAGCAATATAATCTGAACGACGATTTAGAGGGAGTATACGCACACAGCCATGGTTACCAACAGACAAAAAAACATTATTATTTGCAATATGACGCATTATACGAAATACTGTAGAACACGTTCAGTGGCGGATCCAGAAGGGGGCCAGGGGGCCAGGCGATTTACGCTCCGTATATCTTAAGCGAAGCTTGGATCCCCCCCCCCCCAATACATTTTGCTGGATCCGCCACTGAACACGTTGAAATAGCTGCATGCAATTTTAGCGGATTTGACTCTTGGCATGAATTAACAGAATCTTAATTTAGCTAAAATGTCGATTATCTCCATGTGAAAATAAACTTTCTGTTAAATTAGCCACATCTTGAATTAGCGAAATTACAGATTAGCTAAATTAGCTAAAATAACATGCTAGCTAAAAAGACATGTTTTACAGTAGGTTTGTAAATAAGAATATATTGGTTGTCATTGCTTTGTGATGTTTGGAACAAAATCGGTAATATACGCATATAAAATATGTCTAGTAATATTTGCACTACATGGAAAAATTCGAAATAATTTAAAAGGTTCAATTTTAATTTGTCATACTGCAGCGGCTATGTAATACATGTGAATTGGCATGTACGTTAGGGCTTTACTATTGGCTGACAGCGTTCGCACACTTGGTTTGCGCCAACGGCATACCGTAAAATGAGTTAATATATGCCGATCACTTAGGCACCGTTCATTCTACTACTTAGCCAGGGATGCACGGAACAGAGTTGCCATTGTAGTCGTGAACATCTTCTGATACACTGCCTTTGTCGGTAGTAATCTCTACTGGTTATCATTACATATTCGACATCAGGCATATAGCTGGAAGAAATCTATATCACAAGTTCGTTCACGATTGTACCACTGAAAAAAATCGAGTCTCTCGGATCTTTTCCATCACTATGTTGTGTTCGTCGTTTACGTGTGTTATGCAGTGTACATTGGCGCACGCTACGTTTGTTATTTGCACTCTTACACTGTTGATCTCCACGGGGTTTTCTCCAAGTTCGTGCCGAGAGTTCCGTGCATTATTCACGCTGTCAAACTGGAATGCTCCTTACAGCAAAGGACGGATAGGGGCTGCGTATCTTATAGCGTTAGAGAAGGTGAACCGCGACCCAAATCTGTTGGATGGTCACCAACTCACGTATACTCGGTTCGATTCAACTGGATATGATATCACAACCATGGCGAAGATTCTTGACTTGTCAAAGCGTGAAAACTATTGCGCATATTTTGGCCCCGTTTACTCCATCGAAGCAGAACCAATATGCAAATTAGCGATGGTTTGGAACAAGGCGTACATGTGCAGCAGTTGCCTCGACGACATGTTTTTGAACAAAAAATATCGCTTCGAGACCATGATCCGATCGTTTGGTACTTTTGGTCAGCTAGGTGGCTTCATTAATGCGATTGCCGAAAAATTTGAATGGGATCGCATTGGTGTGTTCGTCGAAAAAAATAGCAGCAGTCCCGGAACGAATTTCTTCGAACAGCCGTCTTTGTCTTTTCGCGAAGTTGCTCTTAAAAATAATCTAACAATTGCAGACTTCGTATACTTCAATAGTAGCACAGATACTTTAGACTTATTGAAGGAAATGTCGACAATAGCGAGAAGTAAGTAACGATAAATATTCATTATCACTGGTTTACTTTTAAATTGCTCTGATCAGTATGTGTGTTAACAAACTATTTGCGCAACGAGTTTCGCAACCGTCAAAGTTAATGCTAAATCAGGAATCGCCATTATTTATTTATTGCTAAGTGCTGGGCCGTTAGAAATTCTGGAGCGCTGGGGTATTTTGATAAAACCTGCTTTTTAACTACTGCTCACCCTATGATTTACAATCTCCATGGTAACATGTGATAGTGAAGTCATAACCACATCTTATCGTGAATTACGACTTCACTAATTTTATTTGTCTGCGAAATATGAAAGTAAACGAGTGTTTTTTGTACCAGCCAACTCGCCATGACGCTCACATCATGTTCATTCATGACGATAGACATAGCAAGTAGTCCTACAGGGCAGGTGTGATACACTGTGGTTCTCCATGCTGGCATAGGCGTTTCATGCAAATAGAGTGTTTCGGTGAATAATACGAATAACTCTATTACAATTGTCATTAGTTGAATCTTTCTATACCCGGGAAGCCAGTACTTAGTTTCATTATCTGTCGCCTATCCCCGATAGCTTGCAAAATATATACAGTATATATATAGCAAAATAAGCGAAATCAGGCTGCCTCAATGGGTGATAACTAAGACATTATACTTATAATATATGTGTTTGTGTTAGATTTATTTTTATTAAATTGTTGCATACTTGTTTTTCCGACAACCTGGTATGTATGAATACCTAAAAGCGGAAGGGAATAAACAAAATAGAAAGACGGACCAGTACGATTTATCTTCTTTCTTGTGATGCTAGAATAAAATATGTGGAATTTTACTCTCATCTCAATAAATTATTCGCACATCAACGGTAAACATATTACTGTAATACATGTTACTGGAAAGTGCATCCAGTTTAATTTTGTCTGCATTTCTCGTAAAATATTTTAATATACGGAAAATGACAAATAGATTTTCCACAAAATTACCTGCAATAAAGATTAATGTTGTTATTCCAAGGAAATACGTGGAAACCAGTTAAATTATGTGTATGCGAAAAATTACACAATCGTGTATGGTGGTTGCGTGTACGCCGTGGTTTGTTTAGTCGCAGAAGCTCGGAGCATTGTCCTGTCATTCATTAAATACGTATTTCCACATCGACAATATCGAAGCTCCAAAGACAGTACTACTATAGCCGTTTAGTTGTTTCTAAAGTGTCCACATTGTCGGCGTCACGTTTTTTTCAGCGCCTTTTATTGAATTCAATCAGGTCTTAATTAAATCATAGTTAATGTGATTATCTGATCATAAATGAGTGGGAGTATGTTTCAATATTTAATTTGTCGGTTTTGTTTCACTCAGAGAGAAGAGGTCGCGATAATCATTCTGATCGTCACGTCTGGTTAGTTTCAAATGTTTTGCCGAACCATTTATTATGAACTGTGCGTATGTATGTAAGTACGGTAATTGCTTCCGCGATTAAAAACATATTTATATGAAAGAGAATTTTGACATGTGGGAACGCTTATCGTCATCCAGAGAAAAAAAATCGATTAGTCAGCATACGCAGTAGCGCAGAACGAATATATAGCGCAGGTATTTGACGCTTGTCGACCTAAGGTAGATCGAATCATATTACTTATATTGTAATTCTGGGGGAAAAAGGATATTCTTTGCGACTAGTAATAACAGATTCGTGCATCTTGGGAGCGGAATCATCACATTGATGTGAATAATATCAGACTAAATGTGAACTGAATATAAAAAAGGATATTTGTGATTATTTGCCTCGCATCTTGTAACACATCTCTGACCATTTAAGACACAGTGTATATATCTATCCATTATCTGGTATGCATTCCAGCAAATATGTTTCCTCTTATGCTACAGGATTTTTTTTTAGATTATAGAGAGATATATTGAATTGTAGGAGGGACGTTAGAAATACACGTTATTCTACTCGCTGATACCATGTGACTATCTGGCAGGTCAATAAAAAAGTGTCAGAATTTGATGTTTACCCAGAACACCCCTCGTGATGAGTAAATACACGACCTTGTAGGTTGCACTGATATCGAACCACGTGTGAGGCGATAATAACAATCTCGAAAAGGAAAACTAAAATATTTTAAATGAAATATTAAACAACCGTACGTTCTATTTAGGAAAGAAAATCATGAAAATCATTTTTGTCATCTCTATCATTACCGATGTAAGCTCGAATAAATACACATTTCTATGAAATACCCGGCATTCAACAAAACAACCGACTGGAATAAAAATAAAAACAACAAAACAAACATGTATCTATCTATCACTGCACGAAATATACGCGAATTCAATGAAAAATACGTACATAATATATATATATAGCGTTAAATGTTATTAATGACATACAAAATGAATTCAGTAATGCGCATAATGTGTCCCTATTAACTACTAACTGTTTTATCATATCCGGTGTAACGCAATATCACGATGAGATTGGATTTCATAACGGAATTCGAATTCCGAATCTGCGACGATTTCTATGGAAAAAAGACAAGAAAAAACGTTTTAAAGAATATAGTCCTTGAACCATTCCACATAGTCAATATGTTCACCGAATCTATAATTTACTAGACTTATGGTGCTACGACTCATAATAGGTAACCTTGATATTTTTTGTAAGTTATAACCTGACATCGTGATATATAAATGGCTCATTAATGTCATGTACCACTTGGAGTTATGAATGCTTACAATATATTACTAAGGGTTATATACTATGATTAATAACACATTAGTAAAATATCGTTCTATTAGGCAGAAGACAGTGTTTTTGGGACATCGACAGTCCGTGGAAGTTTCCTGGCGTAGATTCCTGCCTAAATTAAATTATGAATTTGTTGTTTTAATTGTCATGTTTACACTCAAAGAACTTTGATTTGTGCGTGACCAACTGATCTGCGATGTGTGCACATTCATTCATTCATTCATTCATTCATTCATTATTCATTCATTCATTCATTCATTCATTCATTCATTCATTCATTCATTCATTCATTCATTCATTCATTCATTCATTCATTCATTCATTCATTCATATACAAGTTAATCTAATACAAGTATATACAAGTTTTCCTAATCTATTCGCTTCAATATAGCTGACGACTTGTCGTTTCTAATTTACCTTTCCTGGGAAGTTTATAAGACATGACAATGCCCTTATGGTTACGTATGATAACACTGTTATGATAATCTCAGATGCTATCAATGTCATTTCTAGTTTTCTACAAATCTTATATGGGCTGATTAAAAATAATCCACATCTCTAAAAAAAATCTCAAAAGCAGTATTTTTGTATTACAAATAAATAAATAAATAGTACTTTATAAGAATAAATCAAATCAAACA